TGTGTAGTTTAGGCCCTTTTGGTTACTTGTCAATGACATCTGATCGTTATGTCCCCAAAAATCATCAACTGCCTCCTGCGAAATGCCGTGTACTGTGACACCTGCCATAGCACTGGTCACTGAATGTTGATAGTTTTTTGTCGGAGTGAGTGGAGGGGGACGTGGCTTAGCCATAGGTCAATTAGAACAATAGAGAGAGTTGAAAATGTAATTATGCTCTTGTTTGTCATATTAAACCACCATAAATACAAACAAGGAAAATAAATATATTACCACACTTGAGGTGTGCCACAGAGCCCTCGCAGGCAGCAAAGTGAACTGTCCAAGTAACATGAAAGAATCACATGAGACTTCACACTATAAAACTGTCAGCTTTTTCTTCACTGTTAGTTTCATGCAGACGTGACTGACTTGCTGGGAAGCAGGTGAAGGTGGTTTCCAGGTATTTGTAGATGCCACGGCAGGGATTAAAGTTACGAACAAGGTTTACGTTCAGTTCACACTCCCTCTTGCCATCACACCTGTGGGAAACACATTCGTAGCTTGTTTTTAGCACAAAGCAAAAGCATGAAAATTAGTGTAGATACTGTGGTAACTTTGATGAATGTCTGAGACTATTTATTCCCTAAACTTTAAATGCAGTATTTAGTGTGAAATGTAGACTTGAGTACGTGAGATACCGCTTGTTTTAATGTACAGTATAATAATAATTTGACTGTTATATTTTGGGTTGGGGATTGTATGTATCAAGAGATTCAAACCAGGTCATTTTGGTCTGTCAGATTTACAAAAATAGTCTGCTGTAAAAAAAAAAAAAAATACACAATGCCATCAGAGTATACAACGAAACCTCAAGAATATGTGTCTCAAGGTGCTGAAGAGAGGTTAAGATCATTTACTTCATTTGGTTACTTAAGAAAAACTTCATGATTTGACGTAGCTTTTATTTCTACCTGTATCCAGGTGTACATTTACTCAAGTATTATATTTAAGTACAATTTTGAGGTACTTGTACTCAGAGATGGGCAAAAATACATCAAAATGTATTTTGTGCAAAATAAAAAATATCCCTCAAATAAATGTATCAAAATAAAATACATGTATTTTGTATTTTCAAATACAGAAAATACTTTTTCTTTTTAGCAGCGACCCACAGCTCTATAGGTCACTCTGTCGGTTGGTTGGTCAGTTGGTCCACAAAGCTTTTCGTGAATAACTCAAAAATCCCTGACCCAAAATGCTCAAAATTTGCATACAGCAACTAGAGACCATGAGTAACTATACCAGAAAGAATGCCCATGATTCATCCATAGGTGGCGCTATACTAACCGATTCAAAGCTTTTCCTGAATAACTCTCAAAGTCCTTGACCAAAAATGCTCAAAATTGACATGCTGCAATTAGAGACCACGAGTAACTATGCCAGAAAGAACAACCATGACTCATCCATTAATGATAGTAGCAAATTTGGTTGCAGCTATTGCAAATTTGGTATGACAATCTGTTGAACTTGGAAGACGTGAGCAGCAAGGTAGTCTACTGGTAGTGTGGGTCCATCCACGTGAGCAGCATGCCTGGCAAGTCTAGTCTAGCTGTGCTGTGAACTGTCCACCAACGGCCTAGCTAAACAGTAGCAAGATACTGTAGCTACTGTAGCTAGTTAACTTGTTTGCTGTCTAACTTGAAGCCTTTGGAACCCTGTGTTCAACTTTTTCAAATGAAAAAGAGAAAAAAAAGCTAGGGACATGTAGGCTACCCTAATATATTATTTATTGATTCAGATTTAGATTCAGACAACTTTATCGATCCCACGTGAGGCAATTCATTTGTAGCATACTCATCCCAAGCATTTTATATATATATATATATATATACGTATATATATATAAGTAAAAAATATTGTTACATCCAATATTATAAGAATGTGTAGTAGCCTATTATTTTTGTTTTTTGATTCATGGAGAAAGTATTTTGAGTATTTTAAATACAAAATTACTCTACTCAAAAGTATTTTGTTACAAATTACATTTGTTTTTTATCGGCCTTATCAAATACAAATTACAAAATACTCAAATGTAATTGAAATACGTATTTTAAATACCATTAATAGAAATACTGCCCATCCCTGCTTGTACTTAACTTGAGTATTTCCATTTTATGGTATTATTTAATTCTTACATTACATTGGAAGCAAATATTGCACTTCTTACTCAGTTTATTTTGACAGTTTAGTTACTTTGCACATTCAGACTGGTAATGCAAAATATGAAATCAACCACTAAATTATGATGTATGATTATAGATCAGGCTATAAGCTGATGTGCATATAAATGCATCAATAATATAAAATAATATTTATTATTCAGAAATGTGCCATTCTGCATAATGAGTACTTTTACTTTTAGTAACATATATCTTGATACTTTTTATACTTTTACTTGAGTGATGCTATGAATGCAGGACTTTAACATTTAGAATACATGTGATTAAAAAATACCTTCTTCTGAGGACGTCCACTGTACCCTTTTGAGCGCACTGTGTGTTGGCAAGCTGATTCTGAGGTCTTCCCTCACTGCAGGTCTCATTGTCTGCACGCCCATACAGTGCTGCCTGCACAACGATCACTCCAGATTCTGTTACACACCAAGGAGGAAATTAATAAACAATAAAGTTCAGAGGGAGAGTTCTCATCTAAAGAAATCACTATGGGAATCATTAACAATTTTTGTCATTTTGACCGAGCCTAACATTTCCACAGGCATATCTGATGTAAAAAAAAAAGAAAGAAAGAAAGAAAGAAAATAAAAAATCACTCTTCTCATCGTAAAAAAACAACACCATTGTCAATGAAAATCTGTCTGACCAAGCTGCAACCTCTGAGGCTGAGAAATGAAACCAATGCGGGAGTGCAAAAAACTGCAGTTCATTAGATGGCCACTTGAGGCTGGCTCCGAATCACAGTCAATCCCCATAGACAAGCAAGTTGAAATGCCCTATTTTACAGCAGAAACAAACACCGTTATAGTCTGGTACAAAAAACGGTTTTGGTCTCTATGGTCTCTTTGGTGCATTTGAGGCCCAAAGTTATGCGTATCTAAGGGCGAGGCTGCTCTGCTGGAAGGCTGCTGCTGCTTATTCACATTATGTCATTTCGTAAAATAGCTGCAGGTAACGCTGGCTAACTTGCTCAATGTTACAACTTAGCATACACTTAAGCTCATTCCACACATTTGCTTGGTGGCTGGCATGAGCCACTTGTCGTAGTAGCACATTGTAGTAAGCTGCTGGATTGATATTGCAATATCATATCAATAAATTATGTCTCTACTGGATTACTATGCTGTAAAATGGCAAGAATTAATGAAAACGTGTTGTGTGGCAGGAAAAACACTATTATTTAGTTAATTCAGTCACACTGTAAGATTTACAGTGACATATCATCTGGTTTCTCATAGCAACTAGAACTTTACCTTGATTAAAATTACAGATTTCTCTGGGTTTGAACATTGTTAGAATCTTTTGGGATAATGTGAATGCACAACTCAACAAAATATATAAAATAGTAGATTTGAATGTGTAAATGTTACATATTATATTTTCAAATGAGATTAGTCATACCACAGCTCAGGCGCTGGACATTCCCGGAGCTTCCACAGGTGACAACTTTCTCCGTGGAAACAACTACAATAACAGATACCAAAGCATAAGCTGAAGTGGGTTGAAGCCACACACTGTATGTAGAAAATAAATGCAGGCATCATCATGATCACATTCACTCAGACATTTACCTGCTGTCATGAGCAAACATGTTGCTGCCAGCACTGAAAAGAAACATCACTGTCAAACTGTGTCAGCCAAACACGAGTAAAAGTTACAAAGTCTTGCTAAAAAAAACAACTTTGCTGTGTTCTAGTAGGATGGAGCTTTATCACAGCAGACATTTTGAAACTGTCTTGCCCTGAGTTAAAATGCCACATTAGTAAATTGTAATTGTAAACTCAGATAATCAAACTTAATTCCTAGTTTTACATGAACCCACATAATTATTCTTTCAGTTGTCAGCTGTGTACTCACACAGTGTGGTGCTGAGTCTGTAGCAGAGCATGATGTTAGAAGATCCTGTCTG